ATCATAATAATTATAAGGAAATTCATGATCCGATGATCCACCGTCAGATTTAGATTTGGTATTAGTATTAGTTTTAACTTGGACGCCATTACCACCTTCCATTTGAAATTGTTGATAAGCTACTCGATTACTTTCAGTAGGACCATTCATTGGGTTAGGAGCAGATTCAACCAAAATCTGAAAAATTTATTATTAATACTTACATAAGATTCTTCAAATTGTTCAGTGTATTTTACCAACAGTGATGTAAATGCAATACAAACATACAACAGCTTCATGTTGGCGGCAAATGAAAAATTTGATTGCAGTATTTTATATAGATGCATTCTTTGTACGTTAGGCAAAATTGCATCATGCAAAATTAATTACACTCTATTGAATATGTAGCCTACTTATTAAAAACAATCATTAAATTGTTTTATAATGGACACGAACAAAACACAATTTTAATGCAATTTTATCAGCTGAAAAAGTTTAAATATATTTTTTACTTTGACGTTAAATTAACCTCAGGCTAACACAATTACATAATGAGAAAGTATTTTTTTTTATAGTAGCAACAAGATTTCTTATTTAATCTTCTCGTTCTTTGTCATAAAGATAGTAGAATATCTCCTACCCAATCTTAGAAGGTCTTTATATGAAAAAGAAGCAAATTTTTAACCTGTTTTGTATGCAGTGCTACTGACCTATGCAAGCCAAAGAAAATCTGCACTTCTAAAATTTGATAGTCCAGCCTTAATTTTTTTTAATGTTGAAGAAAGAATATATTACTAAACTATAAATTTGGGAAGATACTAGAAATTTATTGAAATTTTAAGCTTCATCCATATTTGGAAGGAATTAATGATAAAAACTTCACGAGTGTTGTCACGATAATTTTAAAGTATTTTTTTTACTAAACGATTCAACGTTTTTCAAGATTCCTTCGAGATTTTAATGATTCGAAATAAGACAATTTGTGTTTTACAACACAATGTGAGGATAATATTTTAGTGTTTAGGCCTTACCTTCAATTTAGCAATACTAACTAGATTTACAATTTTTTAAGATATGTTTACAAAAAAATGTGTCGATGAGTCATCAGCAATTGCATTGGGTCGATGTGTCATCGCTTGTTGTTCAGTTGAAATAAACACTTACACACCGGCGTCGAGTACGCATGGCACATCTCGAAAATCTCGAGGAAACACTTGTCGCGTATGCAAATGCTCGACCTTGATTAGAGTTCGAACGAAGCTGCACGCCTATGAATTAAAACGCCCTCGCTGCTGTCAGGTGCTCAGTCGATACTCAACGTTGAATTTTAACCTACACATATTTTTTGAAATGATAAATTCTACATTTCATTATTTTAGAAATGTATCAATTAATTTTGGCGGTTACTGCCAATTGGCGTTCTTTATTGACATAAAAATCAAAAGTTTAATAAAAACTAGCATAGTATGCTTTTTACCAATACCTACTTTAACAGTCCACACGTATTTTTATTTTACCTTCTGGAGTTATCGTAAAATTCGCAATACCAAATTAGATAATTTTTCAAAGAAGTTATACTGTATGTACTTCGAGGGCGAGGAAATTTCTATCTAATTTCGGGACCATTTTTTTAGAAGTTTTAGTTTATTGTTCAATAAGCGTGTAACAGCAGCAATTATTCGTAAGAATAAAACTTACCATGCAAGCAGCAAGCGCATCTATTATAATAATATACCTACGAGTAAATACTACTATTTTCACAAGAAAATACGAATTGTGGCATATGCTGTGTCGAAAGCTACGCTTTGAGATCACAGTGATGCCGTAATTGGTGTTTTATGTTTGATATTAATTCTATTATCACTAGGATTAGAATTCAAATAAAAGTAGTTAAAATAAGAAATTTTGTACATTACCGGCTTAAAATAATTGCTAAATATAATTTTCAAAAAACTTTTTATGAAAAAAGGATGGAATCAAATCAAAAATAAGCCATCACAGAATGTATGAGATCTATCAACTGCTTCGATTTCGAAGAATCGGAGTTATTGTGCCGCCCACAAAAGAAAGTCATTGAAATGTAAAGTCGGAACTAATTCGATAATCATGACACAAAATAAATCATACAAATATCTCCGACAATATTTATTACAGTAAATTATATCTTCATTCAAGAATAAATAAGTGTCAGAGCAAATTAAATCGACAACGAAATTGTGAACAGTGAAAAACCTGTTTAATCCAAGCATCGAGTACGTTAAGAATAAATTACACCTTGGATCATCCATATTTTTTGACGTTACTCGAAAAAATTACACACGAGAGACGAAGAAACGCCGCTCTACTACAAAGCTATTAATATCAAGTTAATATGTTCGGTGTCAGCGGTTTACCCTCGTCATGGCAAGGGCAGCTAATATATTGTTAGCGTCCCGATAATTAATATGCCAGGATTTGATTCTTGGAAACTGTCAGTCCACGCCTAGAATTCAATCGAGGCTCTATTATTAGCTGTTTATTAATTTACAACGCTCTGGAAGCTCCAACAATCTCTCCAGTAGCTCGCCTATAGGTATTAAGCCATATTGTCTATAGCCTGATGTATGAATTTCATTTGGGCTTGAGCTCCTCATTCTTATATTGGCTTGCTGTCGGGTTTACTATAAACTCTAACCTTTATTCAGGAAAATAAAACAACACCGATCGTGGATAACGGATGTAAATATGCTACGTTTTACAGTTCTTTTACCATCAGATTTTGTGCCAATTACGTGTCATTTTCTAGACGGTTTATGTTAGATGTTGATGATGCTGCTCCGGGAAGTGACTGAAACTGGAATAAATTAATTTAATACGTATTAAGTTAATAACAGGTAATATCAAGATTTAATCGTTTTGATCTCCTACAGATAAAAAAGATTTATTGAAAATTCAATCAGAATATTTTACGGTAGTGTTGGTAGTCACACTTTCAATTGACTAATAAGTCAGTATAGTTGTTTCTTACTTTCCGATGTAGTGGGTTGGCAGTTGTTAACTATGGTTTCGGTAGTTACTTACAGCAGAAATGTACAAGTTTACTGTGACATAACCGAAAAGAAACTGAAACATCAAAAGAATCAAGGACCACAAAGCAATCGAGAGTGAAGGATATATATATATATATTTACTGCCCGCGCGTAAGCGAAGGAAGTATTGTAATCGGGTCCATTAGCCGACTCTCTACTTTTACGTTTTCTCGACCTTCCATGATCCCTAGACTACGAAGAAATAGGTCTCCCATTTCTGCCTGTCTGTCTGTCTGCCGTCTGTGATTTTTAACACTGAGTTATTAATTGTACAATTAATTAAATATGTATTTTTTTCTTTGATACATCTATTTATATATTTCATGGAATATTTATGGGCTTTCAATTGTATTACAAGGAAATTAGTTCAAATATCTGTGAATCGTTTACAATTGATGTGAAGTTGTTACGGTTTTTAATTTTTCTTATATATCACATAAATTTTGATAAGTGAAGTATCATGTTTGTAATAAGCTTAGGCATTTACAAAATGAAATTATTTATTTGCTCACGGCACAACGTTATTATCTGCAGGTAGTGAGATAAATAACCTGAAAATAAATTTGCAACATTGTTAAGAAGGTATCTCCCATTGATTTTCTTCTAATTTATTAAGTTCTAATGAAAAGAAAACAAAACACATATTTTTTTCACAACGAAATCTGCAAAATGATTACTCCGACAATGTTAAATTTCTTGGTATTTTTCTTAAACCCCTTTTAAGTTGGGAAAGTCACGTGAACGAATCTATATAGTAAACTGTTGAGTTGTGTATGTTATTCGTTCACTTTTCCCGGTTATATCTAAAGAAGTATTGCTTAGAGCTTAATTAATTGATTATTACTATTTGTATTACAGATGATACTCAGCTGAGGTTACTTAACTGCGATGCCATGGCAAATGAGTTTTTGGTCTTCAAAGAAAAATGGTAAGAATTACCTCTGGAATGGGCTGTATAGAGTGATTCAAAGCACTATTACATAAATGGCCAATTATATGGTAAAAAAGAAGTAAAAAGTTCTAGTAAAATTATGATCATTTTTCAAAAATAGAGAAAGTACAGAATTTTTAAATTTGCTGCGTTATCAAATCTACTTTCCATTACCGTGATTTGTATTAGCAAAAAAAATTGCTTGATTATTGGGCCAGAGTTGACTTGGAAACGTCATTATTGTGTGTTTCTTCAGTAACGTATAATTATTGTGTGAATCATTACCAAGTTGTCACACTATAAGACTTGGTTTTGACAAATTAACCACAGTGAAAAATAATTTTGATCATGATCATTCACGAAAGTTAAAGATTCTCTGATAGCCATATTTTAAAAAAAACTGGCCCTGCTCTTATTAGCTTTATTTACTTATTCTTTGCACTGCTCTGAATCAATCTGTAGAGAATAAAAAGTAAACTTTTGTAGAAGTAATAGTTATTTACGTGGCAAGCTTAGTAAATTAGCCTTTACGGGCGAGCCGGAATGTTTGCAGGGCGAGCGACGTAGGAGCGAGCTCTGTAATCCGGTGAGCCCCAGTAAAGGCTAGTTGCAAGCGAGCCGCGTACAACGTTTTACTTCCTCTTGCTGAAAATCCTGAAAATGAACAACTTTGGCATCTCTAGAAATTTTACTTGAAATTACAGTCATAGAAATTATAGTCATTTTTCATAGTTTGCTCCGGTAACTATGGAAAATTGAATTGTTTGAAAATAACGGGACTGTCAATTTGTAAATTGGATTAATAATTTAAATAGTTTAATTTTGTTTCTGAGCACTGTTAATTGTGGAATTCGATGAAGATGAAGAGTTTGAAGGTGATTTTAACGTTAGTATTAGCACAGTATTAGTGAGATTAAGAAAAAGGCCGACGCAGCGAATGTGTGTTTGATTCCGGTGCTGTCATGGTAACGTTTTACAGGCTCGGTGCCTGTAAAGCTGCCACGGTAACGCTTTACAGGCAGGGTGCGTGTAAAGGCTAATTTACCGAGTTAGTTCAGACGACAGTAAACGAGGTTTAACAAGACAAGAGGAAGTAAACATTTTAACGTTTCCGTGTTTGTTTATCTATTTCAGTCTACGCTATGTTAAATCAAATCTTCATTTCTATACAATCAATAATGAAGTACACGGACACCATACTTGCACTAAAAATGATACTTATATTAAATATTTTTGTCTGAAATCTTTCAAAATCGCTGCAAATTCTTTTGGAGAGAATTTTTTTTGTGTATTACAGTGTTCCGTACAAAATTTACCGCTTAATAAATTTTGTTATTAAATAAAAACATTTTTGCTTTGTAATGCATTTATGCTTTTGATGCATTCGTTTTAAACAATTTTGATAAAATATTGGATTAATGTGCTATTTTACTTTACATACTTACATTTATTTGTTGTACAATTTTGCTGTTTGACTTGTGATATACAATGTATCGTCATCTCACCTCACCTCACCTCACCACACTTCACCTTACCTCACCGCACATCACGTCACCTCACATCACCTCAAGGAGTCGTAATAATTGACTAGGAGATTACAGAAGACGAGAATGTGAGTGACTACAAATGCGTAATTTTTTAAGTAATGTCTTGCCGGAAAACAGAGGAAATTTCAACACCAAAAGATTGGAAGGTGATTTCAGAAAAGCTTGAAGAACTGGTCGAGACTTGAACGAAGAAAACTGAAGAGGAGTGTGAGCATACTATAGAGGAAAGAAAAGAGGGCAAAGACCACTACATTGGTGGATTTCGGACACTGAGACCAAACAAAGAGAATGTACTTCAAAAAGAAGGTAGGTGATAAGAACCCATAAAAAGATTGGACTGACGGAAACAAATAAGAAAACCAGAGGAAATAAATGCAATAAAAAGAAAGGACAAAAATCCATACCGCAAGCTAAGGAAATAGCATGTGTTAGAAAAACTAGATGTCAGTTATCGGACAAAGATAAAAGAAGGCAAGTTAAACAATTATTTTCAATAAATCCCTTCATAAAGTGGGGTCTGGTAATATTCTTTCAGCCTAGAAGACATCACCACCGCTGCAAGGGTTAGCGCCGTTAATGATTAAGGTGGTGATACTCTATTAACCCAAGTACTGCCAAAAAATAACGAACGGCTACGGGAAACTTTCGACATCATGTAAAACGGCTGGATTTGTGTTAATGGAAAAACCAAGTAAGAACGAATAGTGCATGACTACGTACAAATCTATATGTTTACTCATTGTTCTCGGTAAATTCTTAGAAACACTATTACTGGGTAGAATAAGACCGGACATAGAGACAAGTGGGGGATGCTGCTAAAGGGAAAAACACGATGGGCTCATGATGTAGCTATTTTAAAAATAGGGAGCTTTTACTGTCGAATGACCACGAAATACCTTTTGCCGTCATAGTTCCAAGGATCGATGCCAAGTCAAACGTTATTAAACATTAAACACCACTTGTTAATCGTAAATTTGACAACGTTCATATTCTGACAATTTTCTAACTAAAAGCCGTTGTCAATCAACCGAAAGCTGTTACCAATTGCTAAATTTTAAGCAAAATCAACAGGTGGTGTTTCAATAGAAATGGCAAAGACAATAGAACAAAAGCGAGAGCTAAACTCAACGACATATGAGAAACGACAGAACGAATGATGGTATTTACAAAATAAAGCACAATAGACCAGAAGGGTAAGTCAACTAATTAGACCCTAAGCGCATAATAAAACACGGGAAAGTACAGATTTTGACAGATATGACAGTTGTAGATACTGCGATGGAGTGGATGACATATCTAGAACACGACATCTTTCGCTCTCCAAAACGGAACAGCGTCAAGTCTTCGACATATTATACCGGGTTGGGGCAAGAAAATTTGGCTGTCTCGGAACAATCTGAAGACAAATTCATAAAGAACGAGTACAGGAATACCTATGCTATTTTATTAAATTTAAATCCTGCTTACTATGAAACATTTTTAAGGGATGTCATCAGTATGAATGATTAGGTAAATTTAGGTTAGCGTTTTACCAATTACACGATTTGACTCCTAACATGCACATAAAATGTGTCAACAATTAGTGCAGGTGTTTTGAAAATTATTTATCTACAATTGAAATCTGGACAGGCGACAGACAGACGGACAGACGGTCAGACGGAAACGGGAGACCAATTTTTTCGTGTTCCAAGGGTCATGAAACGTCGAGAACACATAAAAGTAGCTTGTCGCCGGATAGATTCGATTAGAGTACTTTCTTAACTTACGCTCTATAAGTAAAAAGGGAGTTTAAGTCCAGTTAGATCAGCTGAAGTCAGGTTAGGTCAAGTCAGGTCAAATCTTTCAAATTCAGAAAAGGAGACGTTTCCCGGTTCTGACATCTGTAATCTGGGGGTAGATTACTGAAATCTCAAAAAAATTTATATCCAGCTATAAAGTTTTAGACTAGACGCCCACTGGAACAAAATACAGGTAAACCCCTAAATTCGAAGTAAAATTAAAAGGAAGGGGTGGAAGAAAATGTAGAGCATGCTACTGAATGTGACAGATGGGCGAGGGTAAGAGAAGACTGCGAAGTACAATTGGGAAGAAGAGTGAGTGCAGACAATATGAATGAGTTAATGCTAAAGAATGAAGAGGGATGGATGGCAATAGAAAGTATGCTAGTGACAGTAATGAAGATGAAATGTGACTACGAACGACAAAGAGAAAGGAGAGAGGAAGATTGAGAGCTGAGTGAATGAAAAAAAAGAGGCACAGACAACAATTAATAAAGACAGGCACGAGAGAAATACAAATTACTTAAAAAAAACAGCAAAGGATGGACAAGAAAGAAAGACGAAAATAAATATGAAAAGTAAGGAAGTGAAGGAATGCAACAAGTAATAACACAGGCTAAATAGAAATAAAAAAAAATTCGGGAAGAAGAGTAGGATGGACAAGAAGAAGTAATGCTAATGCGATTCCAGGGGTCGGAGAACAACTGGCTGAGGGAGGGTTTTAGCCGGTAAAAGTCCTGGTACTACCAGGGACGGTCGAACATAAGTTCCTGGTGCCCATTAGGGTTTTCCCTTTCATAAAAAAAGGTCAGGGTAGATTTAAAATCCTTCAAATTCAGAAAAAGAAACGTTTCCCGGTTCTTGCATCTTTAATCTGGGGGTAGATTACTGAAATCTCAAAAAAATTTATCTCCATCTATAAAGTTTTAGACTAGACGTTCACTGGAACAAAATGCAGGTAAACGTCTAAATTCCAAGTAAAAATAAAATTTTTCCTCATATTTTCAGAAATGAGATAATTTGTAACGAATTCTGAACATTGTGGATTTTCTAAACTATTTCAGCTTAGTCTAAGTCATCTCAGATTCGGAAAAAAATCTTCTGACTCATCAGTTTTCATGTTCAGGCGGTTTCTGGTTTGACGCAAATGGTCAGTGCCGTAGACTGCTTCTGATTGTTGAATTACAATAATCACTCTCTAGTGTGAACCGTGTTAACTGCCGGTACTATAACAGCTAACTGTAATTTGTAAAGTTCTTTGACTAGATTTTGTCTTGTGACACTCTAAATATTATTGTTCTACGATCAAAATTGACCAAAAGAACACCAGAAGCTTTCGCTAGTGCCAACATTTACAATTCAGAGAAAGACGTTAGAATCTGTTTATTGTCCCTTGGCTCCTAAGACTAAAAAATTTTTTTCGTGTCTATTTCCTAAGTTTTAGACATTTCGATTTTATTTTTATTTATTCATTTAAACTAACGTACGTATGTGTTTTCTTAATTTCTTACCATGTAGCGTATATATTTATTCCATCGAGATAGCATGGGTTAAAAAACGTGAAATAATCACGAATAAACAGTTCACAAAAAAGGTCCGACCAAGGCAAAGAGTGTCTTTAAGTTGGTGTTAAACGAGCAAGACCAAAGACAACAGTACGTAACCTGGACAGGCAACACAGATGTATTTGAAAAAATGAATATTTGCGATAATGTTTTTCTGGAAACGAAAAATGCAAAGCGAGTACTACTACAAAAATAAGAAAATTTTTATTTGCCACTGTTATCTATAAAAAAACGTGACAGATGAAAATTCTCTCTACGGTCGTCGAAAATCTTTGCCTCATTTTATAAATTTCCATAACGAGAGATGTATTTAAATACAAATATAGAAATTACATGTAACGCTTCAAATGGTATGTAATAATAATGACAGTTAGTGTTTCACCTTGAGCCTACAGTAATTCACCGTGCGACTAAATTTCCGCATCGAAACCGCCAGTCCGTCCCTGCAATGATTCGCGGTGTGCCGCTCGAAAAGCCGGGCCCCCCGTAGATCCCTGCAGGGGGCATCACCTGCCCCCCGGATTATTTAATATATTCACATTCCGACGTTAATCATCCCAACACCTCTTTGTCGTCGTACCGCTGCAATATCTGATGATGTCTCTATTAAACTATTTGTTGTCGTGTCTATGATAGTCAATTAATAGTGCCGATGTGTTGTTATGGAGTCTATTGTGTTATGCCCATTGTTGGCCCTTATTACTTGATTAAATTATTATTTTATAGAATGGTTTTGTAATGAATAATGTTGTGCCAAATCATTCTTCTCAACATTTTTCAATATTGTTGTCAGATTTGTGACCGAAATGTTCGTCGACGAGGGCAGGAATGACAGGCCGAAGTTTTTATTTCCGCTGGGGTGGTATGATTCATTGTAACGAAAATGGACATGCAAATTAAAACAGGAAATGAACGTCTATGCATTTTGTGACGTCGCTAGAACATGCATTAGGCCAGTGATTGTCCCGAAGTTTGTGATTTTTTTTATTTTTGGGTGTTTTGAACTACTCTTTTAACATGATATGAAGCTACATGTATATACAAATACTAGTACAAATACATATGAATTTATCGGATAAACTGTATTAAGTACTTATTCATGTTATAGTTGGGTTCACCATTTATTTTGTATAAAGTTTTTGCATTTACTCATTATATATTATTGTGATTTTATATATT